GGAATTGAACCCAGGGCACCAGTGTAAGAGGATAAAACCTTAGCAACTGAGCTACAGCAAGAGTCCCCAACCCCAGGGCAGTAGGCTGGCTCTGGTCCATGGCCTACTAGGAACCAAACTGCACAGCAAGAGGTAAGTGGCGGACAAGCGAGTATTACCACCTGGGCTCTGCCTCCTGTCAGATCAGCGGAGGCATTAGATTCTCATGAAAGCATGAACCCCACTGTGAACTGCACATGAGAGAGACCTAGGTTTCCTTCTTCTTATGAGAATCTAATGCCTGGTGATCTAATGTGGAACAGTTTCATCCCAAAATCATCCCCCACCTTCCCTTGTCTGTGGAAAAATTGTCTTCCATGAAACGGGTCTCTGGTGCCAAAAAGATTGGGGGCCACTGACCTATAGTGCAAGGCGGCTGCTGTTATTTTTTTCCAGGAGGATTTTAGAGCATTTGCAAGCTTACAAAGGATTTTAACTGCTCAAGAGAACTTTCTAGGACTAGCCATGTTATTATTACACATGCTTCTTTTAATTTAGCCTTGTTCCTTTAATGGTGTACTCAGTTCCAGTGTGACTCAATCTAAAAGCCTGTTAAAGTCCAGATAGTAATTTTCCAGATTTTTACCATATAAGCAAAAGGTATTTCCAGAAAGGGGTAGAGGAGGCATCTATGACAGGCAGCTCTTGAACTCAAAGGGCTTGCAATCTTGGGGGTGGAGGTAGAGAGCAGTGTCTTAATTAAGTGAGCACACAAATAAATAGATAATTAGACATAGTGGCCCATGCCCTAAAGGAAAGGTAGAGGTACTATTAAGACATGTGGCTTGGGGGCCTGACCTGGGATGAATGGTTGAGGAGAGGTTTCCTAAGGAAACGACATTTGACTTGAGATGTGGGCAATTTGAGTAGGTGATAACTGGGTGAAGGCCTGAGCAAGGTGGATTGGAAGCCCATTCAGTCAGGGGAAGCAGATTAATCTTGTTTTGACAAATAAAGTTCAGAGAAGCTTTGCTGTAAAATATTGCTTACTCTCCCAAATGTGGAGGAAAAGCATAGTGTGGCAAAGACGCAGGCTCAGATTCGGAAAGCCTGGGTTCGAACCCTTGCTCTGCCATTTGCTCTGTGTTCTTAATTGCCATTCTCTGCCTCAGGCTCCTCACCTGTAAAACCTCATGGGGTTGTGGTGAGGCTTAAATGAGTTAATGTGTAAAGCACCCAGGGCCTGGCATTAACCTTCTCTGGTTTATTACATATCAGCTACTGATTTCTAGTGTGCTGCTCTATTAAGAATAAAAGTCTGATCTTTTAATATTGGCAACAAGAACCAGTGATTTTCTCAAAGATCAAAGAGTTAAAGAAAGGTTTGAGCTCAAAAGAGCATTAAAAAAATCTCTAAGTAATTTTTCCACCAAAATCATTGCTCTGTCTTCAAGGAGTTCTCATGGTACATTTGAGTATGTAGGGCTGACAGTGGGTATCTTCTATTCATGATATTCATGTTTTTTAGAATTTGTTTGAAGATGGTTTGGGTATGGCTCTGAGTGACTCAGGTTTAGTGCTGAGATTTGGAATCTTTTTAGGGTTACTGGCTCCCTCCTAGAATAGAGTGAAGCAAGGTTGCTGCAGGATGTCTTTCAGTTGATTTCAACTTCATGGTCGCACTGGCAGCTATGAGCATTTATCCAGTACATGTCAGGCATTTTACCGGTGCTGTAGCACAGTAACAGGACACACACATAAACAAGACATATATGGGGTTGCCCTTTAGAGTCTGCAGACTTGAGCTGGTGACAGACATAGATTAATCATTACTCCTCCATGTGGTTGGTGAGCTTCTGGGGGAATGTCCCACTGCTGAGTGCTGTTTTCTGGGCAGAGGAGGGAGCACAACCAACTTACTGGGGAAGGCAACAGATGTCCCAGATGTGATGAACTAATGTTAAGACATGCCATAAAGGAAGCCCTTTATAATCCTCATCCATGTACGTGGGGCAAAGCGGGTGGCATGGAGCAGGAATGGGGTTTTGGTTATGTTGAGAGAGGTCTGTGTTTTCATTAGATGTTCTTCTGTTGAATGGAAACTAAATGATTCCTGGTATATCTGGCTCCGTGTAATTATTATCCACACTGTTAAAATGAGGTTCAAAAATGGAAACTTAAGAGTTTCCAGTTCATTCTGATTCATCATTTACCATTCTTAGGAAGGTAGAAGCTCAGAACTTGAAATCTCCTCTAAAGCCCTAAACTCTGTTTCTGACTCTTAAGTTATCTATGTAAAGGAACTTCCGTGGTCATGTTTCCTATTTTTCAAATCACTGTTATCTACATTATCCTATTTGATCCTTTTAAAGTGTAATCAATCCCTTTTAATAGCAAGGAAACCGGCTCATCAAGATCAACTGACTTCTCTGTGTAAGTGGGACCTAAGGTACAAACCTCTTTGAATAGCTTGACCCTGATTTACCAGGTAGAGGGTTTTGTTGATTGGAATGCGATTACGGAATGTCTTAGGTAATCAATTTATACCAATTAAAATGGCTACCATATGTGCCAGATGTCCCAGCAGAGCTGGGTGGGGTACCTTGCTGTTAATGCAAAAAAGAGATCTTTCCACTTAGCAGATTGTGAGGTGTAATTCCTTCAGTGGCATGGTGGCCGGGGATAAAGACCACAGCTGAGATGCAGTAGTAGGTGGGAACCCAAGACTAGTTGCATTGTAACTCCTTAGAGTCAAGAGTTCTGTTTGGCTAAGAAAATTTGGGGGTATTATGTGGAACAGTGAATCCTTTTCCAGGGGCTAGTAAATGCAATGGAAGGAATACCACAGAGACAACATGCATATCAAACACATACTTTTGCCCAATGCACAGCCCAATTCTCATTCTAGCCACACTGCCCTGCCTTTAAAAAATTAAAAAGAAAAAGAAAAAGGAAAAGTTCACCATGGGCCAGGCACAGTGGCTCACGCCTATAATCCCAGCACTTTGGGAGGCTGAGGTGGGAGGATCCCTTGAGCCCAGGAGTTTGAGACCAACTTGGGCAACACAGTGAGACCTCTCTACTACTACTACTAAAAAAAAAAAAAAAAAAAAAAAAAAAAATAGCAAGCGTGGTGTGACATGCCTGTAGTCAGCTACTCAGGAGGCTGAGAGAGGAAGATTGCTTGAGCCCTGGAGATCACATCACTGCCCTCCAGCCTGGGCAACAGAGTGAGATTCTGTTCCCGCCCCCCACCTCTCCCTCCCAAAAGAGCAGTGATTCTAATTTAGGTGGAGAGATGGGGAAAATTTCAGGCTGGATACCTGTAATTTTTTGTTTGTGTGAAGCACACAGGTAGTGGAACGTCTAGGGCTGTAATCTCAAGGGCATCCTGCAATCGTTTGCTTTTTTTCTCTTGAAAAGCAACTTTCATCTAATCTTTCCTTACAGCCAATCTAAAGTAGCTCCCAAGTGACTCTCCAAACATGACTTTGTTTTGTTTCGTCATAGCACTTATTGACATCTGGTATTTTCTTATTCATTCATTCATTTGCTTCTTTTTCCCTACCTCTTGCCACATTATAAACTGCAAATGAGCTGGGACCTCATCTGTCTTTATTGTTCAATGCTGCATACCAGTGTCTCAAACAGAGGCTGCTCCATATAGTCCTTCACTATTGGTTTTTTTCAATGAATGAACTTATCTTGACATGATTTTCTGAATTTTGTTCTTTTACCTTAAGATTGGAAAGTTGAGAGCAGCATGTTTTGCCCACTGAAACTCATCCTGCTGCCAGTGGTACTGGGTAAGTAGAAGCCAAGGGATTGAGCAGGGTATTTGATTTCTCCTAAGTTCTGTGCATTATTAAAAGCCAATTTTATATATTTTCAATTCCTCTGGGTTTTTTGAAGATAGAAACCCTAAGGTGGAACTTCACAGTCTTGCTATAGCAGCTGTTTTTGAAGCCAGTTAGCTTATGGTTTCTTGGGAAGCTGAATCTTCCCGTTTCCACTAGAAACTGAATGCCTTTGGGTCCTAAAGGGTGTTCTGGGACTCTCTTACGTAATAAAAGGAAAGTTTCTCGGTGGCATTCCTGCACTTTAAATTGTTATCTTTAAAACCACAGTTCATCTTTGATCAGGAACGGAAATTACCGATGAGAGACCCAGAGCTGTTTTCATGCTACTGCCACGCCAGCCTTCTTGCGGTTCCTCAAACACACTGAGCTCTTTCCCAATTTGTGGTGGTTTTCTTTGCCTGGGACTTTCCTCTTAACACTTCATCCCAGCAAGTCCGCCCAAGGCTTCCTTATCCTTCAGGTTTCCCCTTACGCTCCATTTCCTTCTGAGGAGGCTGACCTGACCATCTCCTCTGAGCAGATCAGTCTCCTGTTTACGCCTCTACCTAAGTGCTGCTTCTTGTCGCTCATCTCCATTGCTTTCTAAATTTTCATTCTTCTCCCTCATGCCTTTTTCTTTATCCTATGGATGTAGTTCTGGAAGGAGAAGAAATTAATCAGTGCTCTGTTCTCAGAGCCTTTTGTTTTTTTCTTTATTATTATTTTTTGAACTGTGGACGGTGATTTAAACCCTGACTCAGCAAAGTACACAACAGGGTTGCCTTTGCGCCTATTCCAGGAAATACAGAGTGTGCACAAACATGCACACATGCACACATACACACCAAAATGGTGTGCATTAGAGAATTTTTCTCAGAGAAGCAGGGTTGGCCGGGTGTGGTGACTCATGCCTATAATCCAGCACTTTGGGAGACCGAGGCAGGCTGATCATGAGGTCAGGAGATCGAGACCATCCTGGCTAACACAATGAAACCCTGTATCTACTAAAAATATGAAATAAAACAGCTGGGTGTGGTGGTATGCCCCTATAGTCCCAGCTACTTGGGAGGCTGAGACAGGAGGATCGCTTACACCTGGGAGGCAGAGGTTGCAGTGAGCCAAGATCTTGCCACTGCACTCCAGGCGGGGTGACAGGGCGAGACTCCATGTAAAAAAAAAAAAAAAGCAGGGTTATAATGATCTCAGACGGTATTTAGACATTTTCCCAGAGGTCTGCGGAGCAGCCTGCAGGTTTTTGCCTTCCGATCCGGAGAGCTACCAGTCCAGCCCCTGTATGTGGTAGCTTGGTGGCCCTGGGGATTTTGTAGTTCTTTTGTGGTACAGTTTTCCCTTTCTTGCAGGAAGTCGCATCTTCTTCAGCTGTTTCTCTATTAAGATGACCCTTCACACAGCAGTTTCTGTTTGCTTTGGTTGCCGTTGTTGCTTCCTAGCCGTTCTTCATTTAATTCTACATACCGTGTTCTTAATGTTAAATTCGCTTATTACACCTTCAACCACACGTGGAGTTGCTCAATTCTTCCTTACAGGAAAATTCCAAATATTTGTTGGAGCTGCTTTTGATTTCTTTCAAAACAATTCCCTCTGAAGGGTTTAGAGTTGATGTTTTCTTTTGTGTCCTCCCTGCTATGTGAGCCTGCTGTTGGGCAGGAAGTTAACTCTCTTTTCCCAGGGAAACAGCTTGGATGAAAAGACTGGCACATTTTCTGTTCATTCCCATCAGTTGGCTCTTATCTGACATGAACTGGGCAGCATCTAAATGTGTCTTTCTTGATTTTGTTGTCTTTCTGCATAGAGCATATCTTGTGAAAACAGAAATATCCATGTAATGGTTTTCTCTTGTAGTGACCTTTTGAAATTGCTTGAGCAACACAGAGATAATGGACAGGGGTCCCTGGGTGAAGCACCTAGAGGCTGGAAGGCTGATGGCAAAGCTGGAGCGTGAGGCAGGGAGGGGACAAACACAGTGCAAAGGCAGGAGGAAAGCTGTGCTCTGTATTGGCCTAATTACAAGGACTTGCACTACAGCCAGAATCAGCCAGCAAATGCAGAGATAAGCTTTTGTAAAGAAACTAAAAGAAAGGGAAAAGAAGAAGTAAAGAAAAGATCTCTTTTCAGATAGGGAGCCAGTTGGACACTTAAGAGCAAGGAACATCCCATTTCCTGTTTGTGGTAAGTGGATGTGGGTGTCTAACTTGATATTCAGAAAGGAGATCATTAATCAGAAAGGAGAGACTTCCGGGTTTCCCTTCCTTCTTTAGAAAGGTTCCAGAAAAGCAGAAGGGACTAGATAGGAGGACAGAGCCAGAGAGCATTTGTTATAGTATGAAGATTGCAGAACCGTTCTGACGAATCATATAGGTAACTAGAGGACGGGAATGCCATACTGCCTTTGAACATGGGGCCTCTGAGGACTCTGTCTATGTTGCATCATCCAGGGAGAGGGATGTTTAGTATCCCATGATTGAAATTGATTTTTGTTGTTGAGGGTATTTGTCTAAACGATATGTCCTCTTGCCTTTGACTCTATAGATTATTCCCTGGGCCTGAATGACAAGGTTGTTTCCTCCCGTGAGCTAACAGTCCATGTGGGTGATTCAGCTCTGATGGGGTGTGTTTTCGAGAGCACAGAAGACAAACGCATGATCAAGGTAGACTGGATGCTCTCATCAGGAGAGCACGCCAAGGTAACTCGGGGAAACATCACTGTGTAGTAGAAGCCCCTGACTGATGGTGTCAGGACAGAGTGGTGTGAGAGTCAGGCGTCAGGTGCCACCGGGAGGTGTTGCAAGGGTGGGGGTTGGAGCTTACCAGAACTGGGCCTCCTCCTAGCTCAGCCACTTGGCTGTGTTATCAGCTGGGCAAGTAAGTTACTCAATCTTGCTGATCTTAGCCTCCTGAGCTGTGAAAAGGAAGGCAATTACAATAATGGTAATGCTTACCTTTCAAGTAGTTAAGGGGCTAATGGGAGACACACGCATGAAATGGGAGGTTCCTTGCTCTTGCACATGAAATTCTTTTAGTTTCCTTCCTTCATCTCTACCTTTGTTAAGGAGCAGAAGCGAGTGAAAGGGGTAAATTCCTGGGTTCTAGAAATGAGAGCTCTGACCTAGGTGTAAGAACTGTGCCACAATGATCTTTTTTGAGGTGGGAAGGAAGACAGATTCTTTCAGTGTTTCACTGCTCCATTTATGTAGCGGGGAGTCATCTCCTTTGTGGCTGCTTGAAGTGTTGGGATTAGTAGATGCAGCGTGGTTAGGGTCTTTCATGGAGCTCTTTGGAGTGGGGAACAGTGTATTAAGCCTCATCAGAGAGTCTGTATAGATTCTCGTATATCAGGATCATTTGTGAAAAACGTCCCAAGTAGTTTGTTAATAACATAAAGTCCCAATGTTTGCAAATAAAAGATTGTTTTTGTAGCTCAGAGCATATTCCCTGTTGTCCCTATAATGCTACCTCTCACTCAAATTTTTATTGCCCTTTATTTTTGTAAGAAGGATAGGCCCATGGTGTAAGTAAAAATAAGAATTTCTGCTGGGTGTGGTGGCTCACACGTGTCATCCCAGTACTTTGGGAGGCTGAGGTGGGTGGATCACTTGAGCTCAAGAGTTTGAGACCAGCCAGGGCAACATGGCAAAATCCATCTCTACAAAAAAAGACCAACACAAAAATTAGCTGGCTGTGGTGGCATGTACCTGTAGTTCCAGCTCCCTGGGCGGCTGAGGTGGGAGGATCACCTAAGCCCAGGAGGTCGAGGCTGAAGTGAGCTATGATTGTGGCACTGTAGTCCAGCCTGGGTGACAGGAAAACAAGACAAAACCAAACCAAAAGCAAAACAATTCCCCAGGGCCCAGCCTGTGAGCGTTCCCTGTGGATGGCTCCTTCTTTGTGTTATGATACCGCTGCCAGGAGGAGGGCAGAAATGAGAGGAACGGCAGCCAGCCGGCCATCCCTAGAATTCTCACACCAACACCGCCCACGGCACTAGTGAAAATAGATCGTGCATTTGAATGCCATCTAATCTGGGGCTGTGGCAGAAAATAGAGTGAAAATTCGAGATGGTTTTCAATAGTTGTAAGTTTAAAACGGTAGAGTGATCTTCAGAGTGGGTGCTGTATTTTACCTTAAACTGTAAGAAATAAAATGTGGACCGCATTCCTCCATTTGTCTCTGTAGAAAGTGAGTTGCAGAGCTTGTGCCAGTTAGACCGTTGCCTGGCACATTATTAACTGGGCACCAAGTGCTTTTGGATCATGATCATGACGTTGGCTCTGCTGCCTCCATGTAACAGAGCCTTTGGGATCCAGGTTCCTCGGTCCGGCACCTGTTTTGATTTTCTCCAACACTGTTTTGCCCTCCAGGATGAATATGTGCTGTACTATTACTCCAATCTCAGTGTGCCTACAGGGCGCTTCCAGAGCCGCGCATGCTTGGTGGGGAACATCTTACGCAATGATGGTTCTCTCCTGCTCCAAGATGTGCAAGAGGCTGACCAGGGAACCTATACCTGTGAAATCCGCCTCGAAAGGGAGAGCCAGGTGTTCAAGAAGGCGGTGGTTCTGCACGTGCTCCCAGAGGAGCCCAAAGGTACACAAATGCTTACTTAAAGAGGGCCAAGGGGCAAGAGGTTGTATGTGCAGGACGCAAGGAAACTGATTTTCTTGAGCAAATGCCTGCCTTTGGGCTAAGTACTTACCACAGGCTGAATCTTCAATAAATGATCACAATTATTTCAGTCGATAAAAATAAGTTATTTTATTAAATAAAATATTGATAGTTATTTTATTATTACTTTAAACATACTTTCTCCTGACAAAAGCCCCGTGAAGGATGTTTTGTTCACATGCGTCCAAATGTTTTGGATACGTATTCATTAAATGGTATAGCTAGTACTCGAACCTCGGCACCTCTGACAACAAAGTCCATGTTCTTTTTACTATGCCCTAATACCTTTCATCAGTTATCCGCATTGATGCTACATCTGTATTTTATAGGTGCCCTATGTTAGGTGTTCTTGGGGGTATAAAAGAAATGAGCAGGCCAGGGACAGTGGCTCATGCCTGTAATTCTAGCATTTTGGGAGCCTGAGGCAGGAGGATTACTTGAGTCCAGGGGTTCAAGGCTGCAGTGAGCTATGATGGCACCACTGCATTCTAGCCTGGGTGATGGAGGAAGAGGCAAGAGTCTATCTAAAAAGCAAAAAAAAAAAAAAAAAAAAAAAAAAAAAAAAAAAAAAAAAAAAAAAGAAAGAAAGAAAAAGAAAAAAAAAGGCTGGGTGTGATGGCTCATGCCTATAATCCTAGCACTTTGGGAGCCCGAGGTGGGAGGATCACTTGAGGCCAGTTTGAGGCCAGTTTGAGACTAGCTTGGGCAACATGGCAAGATCCTGTGTCTACACAACAAACAAACAAACAAACAAACAAAAGAGCTGGGCATGATGGCACACAACTGTGGTCTCAGGTACTGGGGAGACTGAGGTGAGAGGATCACTTGAGCCCAGGAGGTGGAGGCTGCTGTGAGCTCTGATCACACCACTGCACTCCAGCCTGGGTGACACAGCCAAGACCCTGTCTCAAGAAAGAAAGAGAGAAAGAAAGAGAAAAAGGAGCGCTGGGCAGGGTGTCTCTGAAAAAAGGCATAAAAAAAAAGAGGAAAAAAGGAGCAGATCTTTCTAACCCTTCTTTACACTTTATTTTCCCATTTGTAAGTGGAGGGAATGGCTTCAGTAGATGGGTGGTTTTAAAATTTGTGCTCTGTAGAACCTTAAGCTGCAAAGAACATGAAGGGTAAGAGCAGGGCAGGGGGTTGGTAGCAGGCATGCCTGCTCAGATAGGACCCCAGGCTCCCGCCTGTATCACAGCCAAAGTCCTTTTCCTTTTTTCTGCTATATTCATTGTGCTGCCAGGTAAGATTTGATGTGAATAAGTCTTGTGCTTGCAAGCAGTTTGAAAGAGACAGCATAAGCTGTGGTGGCCCGAGTCATTTGGAAAGTTTTTTTCTGCTTTGACTGGGTATTAGTTGAAAGAAATGCAGCTGAGACTGTAACCAAAGGAGGCATTATGCTTCCAGAAAAATCTCAACAGCATTGCAAGCAGCTGTAGAAGCTGTTGTATTCGGCTCTAAGGGAAAAGGTGGAGAGATTCAACCAGTTAGCCTGAAAGCTGGAGATAAAATTCTTCCCCCAGAATCTAGAATATGGAGGCACCAAAGTAGTTCTGGATGACAGGTATCATTTCTTATTTAGAGATGGTGGCATTCTTGGAAAGTATATAGACCGAAATAAATCACTACGGAAAGGGCCTCATGTGAAGCTACTCATTCCACTGGAGTTCTGAAATCTTTCATCATGTAAAAGATTTCCCTGTCTGTCTTTTATAATAAACTAATGATATTCAAACTAACATTAGTCAGTGTCTCTAAAATTTAGTTTTGCTTATTGATATAAACACTTACAAATAAGAATATGTAAATGGAAGTAAAGGTTTGCAAGCCACAGAACTAGAAGCTTTCTTTGAGAGTGTGGAAGAGAAAGAACAGTCTGTGACCCCAGAAAAGCTTGCAATGTAGTTAGGGAACTAGAATCTGGGGCCATTTCCTGCCTGCAGCCAGCTTAGGTCCTTAGCATCCAGCTTTATTAATGAGCTCCTCCGGCGCGCCCTGCTTTCCTCTCTTATGACACTCATCATACCCATTCACTTGTGTCTTCCCTGCTTGCCTGGCACAGCCCCTGGCACAGAGTAAGCAATTAATAAACATTTGTGGGATGAATAAAATTACAGAGTTAGCATCCCTTGCTTGAATCTGATTTCTAAAAAATGCAGTTGTAGGAGGTAGCCTCTGGCCCCTCTCCTAGTTATCCTACTTTGTTTCATTGCCATTTTTCTCTTAATTTCAAAGCTCTGGTTCTCCAGGAAGAAGATGCAAATCAGATGCCTGTGCCAAAGGATTCTCTCTCCCTCTCTCTCTTTTTTTAAGGTAGAGTCTTGCTCTGTCACCCAGGCTCTGGAGTACAGTGGTGCGATCATGGCTTACTGTAGCCTTGAACTCCTGAGCTCAAGTGATTCTCCTGCCTCAACCTCTTGAGTAGCTAGGTCCACAGTGTGCATCACCACGCCCAGCTTCTTTTTTGTGTGTTTGTTTTTTTAAGTAGAGACGGGGTCTTCCTACGTTGCCCAGGCCAGTCTCAAACTCCTGGATGCAAGTGATCCTCCTGTCTCAGCCTCCCAAAATTGCTAGGATTGCAAAGGATTCTCTTTTTGCTTCCTTTTTCTGCCTTTGGTCTCTAATGCCGTACCTGAACACTTGTCCATACTGGCCTTTTTCTGCTTAGAAGAGACACAGAGGGAACCACAAGGAGTCAATTTCAAGAGCTGAGGAATCCATGGAAATAGGCTAAGGCAATGTTAGAGGTAGTCAGATATTTCCCCAGTGGCTAGTGGAGCAAGCCACTAGGGAAATATTTTTTTTTTCTTCCAGCCAGAATGGGAATAGATCCAACCCCTAACAATTTTGCCTAGTGAAAGGTGCTCCAACTTGCTGTATGTAAGTTGCCTCCATCGATGTGGAAACTCCATTTTTTGCAGTCATCTATAACTTTTTCTACAAAGTTTACCCTTCAGTTGACAATCTCTCTGTGATTTTACCACTTCAATTCTTTTTTCATTGTTCTTAATTTAAATAGTATAGATAAAAAATAGTAATAACATTAATGTCTTGTACTTTTGCTTTAGAATCAGCCATCCTTCTACTTACGTGGGGTACCATAGTAGAGTGAGTGAGAAAACTCAGGCTTTGCTTTCACTTAGGCCTGGGCTTAAATGTTGGCTCTACCTTTGATTGGCCATGTGGTATTGGGCTCCTTTACTTTCCTTCTCTGTAAAATGGGAGAGTCATCATGCAAACCTCAAAATATTGTAATGACTAACTGGTCTGCTGTATAAAGGGTGTCTAGCACATGGCTGGTGCATTGAAAGGACTCAGAATGTTCACTTGTTATTATTGCATTTGAAAAATAGAGTTTAGTTCTCACTGTGCTTGTAGATTTAAAGGGAGTTTCCTTCCTTACTGGTATTCTTTGGAGTAAATTTTTTATCGCTTTCAAAATAATTCCTTCCACAGAGTTTAGAGTTCATAATATTTTCTTTTTCTTTCCTCCTATTGTGCATTTCTCCTGCTGGGCAGGAAGTTACTGTTCTCCCAGGGAAACAATTTGGATGAAAGGTTGGCTTATGCACTCTGTTCCCTCATGAGCTTTGCTTAACACTCTTTTGAAGGCACTCTGTGCACTTAAGACCTAGGCTCGTGTCTTCTTAATATACCACCCTGCCTTTCATGGCTTAATCAACTTTGTGGTTGATTTGTATACAGCATTACAGAAAAATCAGAAACGTCTGTCCACTTCTTTTCTTTTTCATAGGCCTCTTAAAATGACTTATGTAATAAACATATGGTGGGTCAGCTGCTTGTACAATAGGCAGAAGGAACAGCCTAGGAGTTGGAAAGCCAGAAGCAGAGGAAGGGGGTCAAGTGGGGAGGGTAGGAGCAGGAGAGAGCGGGATTGAAACAGAAAGAAAAGTCAAGGAGAAAGCTCTTTTGTCTTGACCTAATTAGCAAGGAGTCCTGTGACTTGTACTGAGGCCAGAACTAAGTCCTAGAATAAAAGAAAAATAATAGAAGAAGTTGAAGAAAGTTATCCATGGTTCATTTTTGGTAGAGCCAGTGGGTTAAATATAAGAATGAGAGTTCTATAACTTTCCACTTCCTGTTTATGCTAAGCAGATGCTGGTGTCTAAGATGATGAGCACAAAGTGGGGGCTTTGAGATTTTCCATACTTCCTTTAGTACAAATTTGATGTTGAATTAGAGTTCATGGAAGGAATTCTGGAAAAGGGGAAAGAGAAAGGAATTAAAGAGGACCAGAAAGTGTTTATTGAAATAAGGAGACAGCAGAAACCCTCGAGCTTGGTACATGTGGATAGTTAGAAGGTATTCTCAATTTGGGGTCGATGCTGGCTGGTCTGAGGGAGGGGTCTCTGAGTACTTTGCCTAAGTGGAATCATCTGGATCACCTACAGAGGGAATATGTACAGTGTTTGGTGGTGACAGTGATTTTTGCTGCTTGAGGGTCTTTGGCTAAACATGATCTTTTCTAGAAATTCTTTGCTTTCTACAGATTATAACTTGTGTCTGACTTGATGTACTGTTTTATCCTCAGAGTTCATGGTCCGTGTGGGTGAATTGACTAAGATGAGATGTGTTTTCCAGAGCACAGAAGAAAAACACGTGACCAAGGTAGAATGGATGTTTTCAGGACAGCGTGCCAAGGTAACATGGAGGAAACATCACCCGTGTTATAGAAGGCTCTGGCTGATGGTGTTAGGACAGACGTAGACTCAGACATGTGAGAAGGTGTTGCAAGAGCCTAGGGTTTGGGGCTTGTCAGAACTGGACCTTCTAGCAATTTCAGCTTTCTGGTGGGAAAGATAACTCCAATGAAGAAGAAGGAGAAGGAGAAAGAGGAGGAAGTTGTTGATGATGATGCTTAACTTTTAGATGCTGATATGAGATTGTACATGTAAAGCATTTTGTACATGACTTGGCCACTGCATTTTCATTTTCTTCTTCCTCCATTTTCCTTTTTATAGAGGTCATGGGAGAAGGAGGGAGATGACTTTTGTGGCCCAGCAAGGGAAGCAATGGGCTAGGCATAAAAGTGATTACACTCTTATTCTTACTGGGGTTAGTTCTGTGAGTTTTCATCTGTGCTTCCTTGCCCATTTATGTGATGGAGGGACTTTTGATCGGTACTTCGAGTGTTGGAATTGATCGATCCTAAGGGCCAGGGTGAGGGGTATTTCATGGGAACTCTATAAAGCAGTAAACAGCAAGTTCGTTCATTAGACCAGTAGATCTCAACCATGATGTGGTCATATATTTATGGCTCAACATGTGTCATGGGGATATCCCAAGTAACTTGTTACTAATAAAAGTTAAGGTGTAAAATTTATTAAAGACTAACTTTTATAAATTAAAACATATCCCAGGTCATCTCTCTAACAAAGTCATTTGCACTCACTTGATTCCCCTGTGGTATCTGAGTAGGTCACAGTGGGTGACATCATGGTGGAGTATGGGGAACTATATGTGGTCCCAGGTTCACTTCTGAGAGCTTGTCGTGCATGTAAATGTCATCCAGTGAGTAATTCACAGGAGAAAATAGGATGAGAGTTGACATTTTAAGGTTGTGAATTTGAATCACGAGAGACAAAATGTGGGGGGCCAGGTCACTTCTTTCATGTTTGTGTCTACACACTCATTACCTTTTCTTAAAAGCTATAAAAAAGCAATCTACATGTCTTTTTTTTTTTTTTAAATGCCAACATTCATTTAACAAGTTATTTTTAAAGCATTTGCTGTATGATGAATACTCAGTTTCCCTGTCCTGATGGGAAACTGACAACCAAGGTGGAGGGGATCACAGTAAAATAATAAAGCAGCATGTAATATATCAGGCAATAGTGAGAGCCTATAGGGAAGAATAAGACATGGTTTTGGCCGGGCACGGTGGCTCAAGCCTGTAATCCCAGCACTTTGGGAGGCCGAGGCGGGTGGATCACGAGGTCAAGAGATCGAGACCATCCTGGTCACCATGGTGAAACCCCGTCTCTACTAAAAATACAAAAAATTAGCTGGGCATGGTGGCGCGTGCCTGTAATCCCAGCTACTCAGGAGGCCGAGGCAGGAGAATTGCCTGAACCCGGGAGGCGGAGGTTGCGGTGAGCCGAGATTGCGCCATTGCACTCCAGCCTGGGTAACAAGAGCGAAACTCCGTCTCAAAAAAAAAAAAAATAAAGACATGGTTTTGTGGTTTTTATTATATGTGTGCTCGGGGAGGTCTCACCGAGATGACACTTACGTAGAGGTGTGAAGGAAGTGAGGAAGTGAACCCTGCATATGTCTGGCGGGGAAGAGTGTTCTTGCAGTCATAGACAGTAGCAAGTGCAAAGGCCCTGAGGTCAGTATGCAAGGAGCAGCCGACAGCTCCATGTAGCTTGAGTGAAGTTACCCAAGTAGGTGAGGGAAGAGCAACTAGAATTGAAGTCAGAGAGGAAAAGGAGATGGGCTGGGTCATGCAGGGCCTTACATTATAGTAGAAATGAGAGCGGGGCCATGAAGGGTTTTGAGCACAGGAGTAACATGAGTTAACTTACATTTTTAAAGGCTCATCTGCTGAAAATAGATTGTCGTAGAGAATAAGGAGGGAGACAAGTAAGAAAGCTGTTGCAGGAATCCAGGTGAGAGATGGGCTGGACCGGAATGGCCTCAGTGGAGGAGGTGGGACTGGCTGCATTGGGAATATATTTTGAAGGCAGAGGTGATAGGATTTGCTGAGGGATTAGATGTGAGTTGTTCCAGAAAGAGAGGAATTAAGAATGACTCCAGGATTTTTAGCCTGAGTATCTGGCAGAAGGCATTGCCATGTATCAAAATGGGGTAGACTGGGAAGAACTGATTTGGGGGGAAAATGACGAGTTCAGTTTTAGATGTGTTTCAGGCTCCTGTTGGAAATCCAATGAGAAGTGTCATCAGGAATAAAAGTATACTGCTTTTCTTATTGAAAAAGTACACAAATGAAAGTCCTCCTTTTCGCATCCCTCTGTTCAGATGGAAAAACTGTTCATGGTTTGGTGATGTCCTTCACAAGTACACACACCTGCACATGTGTGTATACATGACTCTGTGTTATTTAATGCTTTTTGATAATACCCTTACTGCCTTCACCTAGCAGGGCCTTGGGAGTCCTGAGATCTTCCCTCCCCCATCTTCCCTCCTCCCTCCTCCCCTCCAGTCCTCACAAGCTCATACTTTTTCCCTTTCCCTCTAGGAGGAGATTGTGTTACGCTACTCCCACAAACTCGGGATGACTAGACGGTACTCCCAGAGCTGGGGCCACTTCCAGAATCGTGTGGAACTGGTCGGGGATGTTTTCCTCAATGATGGTTCCATCGTGCTTCAAGGAGTGAGGGAGTCTGATGGAGGAAACTACACCTGCAGTATCTACATAGGGGACCTGGTGTTCAAGAAAACCATTGTGCTGCATGTGAACCCGGAACAACCTCGAAGTATCTAACGTTTGGCTGGGGAGCGCTGAGAGACCTCCTGGCTGGTGCATGGGGCCAGGACTAGAGTGAGGCCGGAGAGGCTCCTGGGATGCAAATTGAAGGAGGCACCCCTCTCAGGTGCTGACTCTGGCCTTGCACAACCCTGAGAATGATGCCTCCTTAGGGGTGGCTCCTCAGATACCTGACTTGCCTCACCCTAGTTCTGGCCCTGCTTCTAGGTCAAGGAGAGGGGAGCTAATGTAGTGAATACCAACCCTCTGCCAGACCCCCCTCATTGCCAGGGTCATTTACTGATGTAAAGGTACAGGAGCTCAGGAAAGGATCGGAGTTGATGTCCAAAGTCAGCATACTTGGCTGCATGGGAAAGCAAGTGCAGAATGCTCTATAGTGGAGCAGGAAATGACCTTGAGCTAGTGAGAGACAGCCAGGAACAGAGAGAAACAGGAAGGCACCAGAACTAAAAATGGAGGGGTTTTCTGATCAGAGGTTCTGGATTCTGGCAAACAGTGTGCATCAAGGCCAGAGGCGTGTAGGAGAGGAAAGACTTGATTGTGTTGACAGAGAGAGGTTGACAAGTGAGGGGTTAAAGTTAAACCATAACCCGTTAGCAGTCAGGATGTGGCCTGTGGACTTTGCCTCTCGCTGGGGCCTTCAGGAGTTGGCTGTGGTTGGTTGGGGGTGGGGAAGATGGGTGAGGAAGATGGGTGAGGATGGAACATACCTCATACCTCAGGCCTGAGACTTAAGTCTGTGGAGGCGCCTTGTCTCCAGCTGGAGAGGGGGGCAGGGCAGGTGGGTTTCTTAAAGAACCATCATCTCTCTGTGCGCTTCATTCTCAGAAGTCCAATTCACAGAGAAATATGAGCCATTACGGGGCCTCAGGCAGCTTCTCCACCCACAAACATATCTGTCTCCATTCTTATTTCTGCCCTGAAATCTGGAGGCAGAGGAGAGTCCCTTCTGCTCTGGGCTTTTGTGGCCCCCTGTGCCCAGGTGGCCTCCGTCTCAGGAGCCTTACAGCATGGCTGTTTGAGCTCTCACTTTCTGTTGGTTTCGACCATTCACCGGAACATTGGCCCAAGTCTACCACTTACCTACTTCAGCTCCATTCTATGTCTTCCTTTTTCCAAAGACCGCTTTCCTGAGACACAAGTCACATACTATACAATTTGCCCACTTAAAGCGTTCAGCTCAATGGTTTTAATACATTCAGAGCTGTATAACCACCACCACAATCCTGTATTTCTTTCTCAACATGGCCAAATCATTGCTAAAGGCCTGTGTTTGGTGTCTCACTGTCTCATCTCCCATTAGCTCCTCAGTGCACTGCATTCTGGCTTCTTTACCTCTGCTCTAGCTTAGATCACCAATGGCACTCCCATTATCCACCCTCAGCCTTCTGCACCTCAGTAGCATTGGACACTATATTCCATATGCATTCTATGTTGGACACAATCCCACACGCACCCACAGATATATACAGTCAACCCTACACAAGTTCCCCACAAATCCTTCAAATGCAACATGTCTAAACCTACCCGTACACACCCTCCTCAGCCCATCTCCCCAACCTCAGTTGTCTAACCAGATGCCTGGGGTGTGCTTGATTCTTTCTCTTTCCCAGACCCCTCATCTAACAGGTCAACAAGTCCTTGACTTCTGCTTCAGACTCCTGAAGTTGTCTTCCAGTCTGTCACTGCTTAGTTCTGGCTGTCTTTATCTCTGTCTTGAACTGTAGGCCTCTAACCAGTCTCTGCTTTCACTCTTAGCCACTGCTCCTCATTCTTCATATGGCTCTTGGCGGCATCTTTCCAAATCACATTCAGAGCTTTCTCTTCCACTGCTTATAATCTTTCAATGGCTTTTCCATCACCTGCAGAAAAACGCCAGATTCTTGGTTGAGATAGTCAAGGTCCTTCCTGCCTTGGACCCTGTCGTCTCTCGAGCACACCCACAGATGCCACCTTTGTGCCAGACCCACTGAACTCTCTCAAGTTTCTAAAGCCACCATTCTGTCAGGCCTCCAGACCTCATGCAGAACATCCCCTCTGCATGGGGGAGCAGGCAGATGGGTTTCTTAAAGAACCATCACCTCTCTGTGCACTTCATTCTCAGAAGTCCAATTCACAGAGAAAATACGAGTCCTTCCCCATGTTGGGTATGTCTGCCCAACAAACTGGACGTTTTCTATAAGTCTCGGGCTAAATGTTGGAAATTTTGCTGGCAAATTTTCATTTGCTGCACATAGAATTGGGCACTCTTTTTTCTGGGCCCCTCTGTTCCCCATGCAGACGTCTCTTGCAGCACCTAGAGCAGTGTGTGGTTTTCTGTTGACATGTTTGTCTCCTTCCTTGGAAGGAGCGACCACACATCATTTGTCTCTGAATCCTCTGTACCTAGTGCTGTCTGGCACTGAGGAGGCGTTTGCTTTCTGTATTTAGAACCAAGCAGATGAGTAGAAGGTACTGTATGGGCAGAAGTTCCTGCGAAGGCTTTACTTGGTATCGTCACAGTGGGGCTGAGTCTTGCGGCATGCGTTCTTTTGAAAGCAATTACTTGCCCTTAGGAAGATCAGCAACCTCTAAGATGCCTGTTATTTCTCAGTCACTTGATAAGCCAAGTTTTGAAAGGAAACTTTACTACAGGTGAAGTGCTAGCCTCTTCTCCCACCCACCTTAATCTACATTTTAGGGTAAACAAGGGGGTTAGACTTTGGTTCTCAATCTCATGGAGACAGCGTCCGCAGTGTCCAGATATGGGGTGGAGTCTGGTCTTCCCCTCCACGTCCTGGCCTGGCTGGTGCTGGTGCTGTGTGGCATAGGGCTGTGGGGCTCTCAGCTCTTTGCTAAGGTACTGAGACCCTCTCCTTGTTTTTCTCCTTTCCCAAGCACTGGTCACCCCGGCGGCCCTGAGGCCTGTGGTCCTGGGTGGTAATCAGCTGGTGATCATCGTGGGGATTGTCTGCGCCACAATTGTGCTGCTCCCTGTTCTGCTACTGATCGTGAAAAGGACCTGTAGGAATAAGAGGTACAGGGCTGCCCTCATCGCTTGGGTTGGGAGGCTAGAAGTGCAGGGCTGCCTCTACCCCAAAGTGGAAGAGGGTGACAGGGCCCTACCTATGCCATTCTCACAGAAGGGGGTATTTTTAAATGGAATCATCTGTGGTTGTCAAATTAGATGTCATCATATAGTAACCCTGCCCGCTTTGCTCACTGTGCCCCCGAAAGACTTGGATGTTCCTATGCTATCCTCATTCACTTTGGTATTACGTAAAGACTACAAACTCCCTTAGAAATGGGGGTCTCAGTAGGGCATAATTCAGAGTATAAATCTTACACAAGTACTATCATGCTACCATTCACTACCTAAGAGAAATGATTTTTAAATTACCCACACTGTACGTTCTGCATAGAAGCTAAGATCATGAGGGTTGCCAGTGGTTTTATCTAAAGGACCACATTCTAATTATGAGACATGATTTTTGAGTGGGTGCCTTCAGGTTCTAAGTGAATTATTGTTAAAATGGGCTTTTAAAGGCCTGAATTTCATCAGTAGTTCTTTCAGAGTTTCAGAAGTGCCCAGATGCTCCGACAGGGATATTAGTGCAGATCCATGTCCCTCAGGTTATCCGGCTATCAATGGAATATGTTGGTAGCGCAGATTGACTCATTAAAATAGTGTCAGTGGGAAAGGGCCTCATGGATAATCCTGACTTTTGAGTGTTCTTTCCCAGTGGGTCATGAATCCTACAGAAGAACATTTGTGCCTACTGGGCTTTCACTTCCACTCCCTAGGGCTTTCTGATTTGATTTTGAACTTGGCTGCCTCTCTGAAGGTCTTTGCCCTGGGCATGCTCATAGGACTGAGCTAGACAACCTGGGTTCCACTGTCAGCTTACTTCCCCTGTCTGGGCCTCAGTTTCCCTCCAAAGGAAGGGTAGTACTTCCATGTCTAGTTGTTTATTCTAAAGAAATAATTAGATGGATATGCTGAGACTGGTGCAAAAACTGCAGTCTTGCTTATAATTAACAGTAGGGATCATTGCCAGTGTCTGTCAGAAAGGTAATGATTCAGGGAACCGGCGTTTCACTCAGTGAAACGCTGCAGACCCCTCTATGTAATGACATGGAAAGATATCCAAGGGGTAATAATATAGAATTTATAGTATGATCTCACTTTTATAAAGGAGAAAATAATATGACGCTCACTCCAGCAGCATATGTAGTAAATACATTTTATGTGAGCTTATACTTACACTGAGAGAGGCTTGGAAGGATAGTTGTAAAATCTATCCTTTTAAGGACTTAAGGAGTTTTCAGGAGTTAAGGTGTGGTATTTGAGATGAAGGAGAAGGTGGATCCCATGGGGTGAGGGGTGGCAGGGAACTTCTGCTTCCAACTGTCTACGTTTCTGTATTATCTAAATTATTTTACAATGAGAAGATACAACTTTAAAATCAGAAGATTCAATTAAAATATTTCCACTGAGACCAAAAAATATGGTTTATTTTCTAGCTTAAACCTTGAGAGAGAGAGAGAGAGAGAGAGAGAGAGAGAGAGAGATTTTTTCAGTTCTGCCTTAGGCCAAAATAGAAAAAAGAAAGTATATTCAGAAAGCAAATGGTCATAAGATCAAAGGCCAAGGGGCCCGGGACAGGACAGGCTCAGAGCTCCCGGCTCCGGGCTTGGGTGGGGTGGGCTCCGCCCCCTGGGAGGCCAGGAGCCCTTCGGACAGGCGTCTTGCTGAGCTCCTGCTGCCCCCTGCTGGTTCCACTGCACTCCCTGGTCCTCAGAAATGCAGAGGGGATGGTCAGGTGGAATCCCATGGCCCCTCTCTCTTCATTCACTTAAAATTACATCTCCCATAGGGCAGAAAGTGGTTTGGGTGATAATAGAGAAGTCGAAGCTGTTTTTCAGCCTAAATTACCTCCAGAATGGCTTCTTGTTCTTCATTAGAAGAGATGCGCTGGCCGGGCCTGGTGGCTCATGCCTGTAATCCCAGCAGTTTGGGAGGTCGAGGCGGGCGGATCACGAGGTCAGGAGACAGGGACCATCCTGCACAACATGATCTACTAAAACTACAAAAATTAGCTTAGTGTGGTGGCACGTGCCTGTAATCCCAGCTACTAGGGAGGCTGAGGCACAAGAATAGCTTGAACCCTGGAGGCGGAGGTCGCAGTGAGCTGAGATCCAGCTTGGCTACTGGCTACAGAGCGAGACTCTGTCTTACAAAAAACAGAAACAAAAACAAAAAAAACCGAAATGCACTTCTCAGGTTTCCAGGTGAGCCGTGTAGCCCCGACTGTAGGAGTCCAGAGAGAATAGTTTCTTCTCTGGGGTCTCTCTCTTCACAAAGCCAATCGGGGTCTCCTACAGGGACCCTTGGATAAACCATACCAGCTGGTTAATTCCACATGCTTTTCATGCCCTGCAGTTCAGTGAATTCTACAGTCTTGGTGAAGAACACAAAGAAGACTAATCCAGAGATGAAAGAAGAACCCCGCTATTTTGCCCGCTATGAAGGGGAGGTGAGCACACACTTCAGCATAAAAGTGTAGATGCAGGCCTGGGTGGTTAACATTCCCTGGGAACCGTGTCTTACCCACTGTATGTTGCAGCTCGCAGGCCAGTGTCTGGCACAGAGCAAGGACTCAGGAAGCCTTTGTCATTAGAATCTGAGCCTCTGAAGACTAGAATTCGTGGCGGGTGCGGTGGGGGTGGGCTGGGTCAGCCCCGGGCAGCAGACCCTGGTATTGGGCTGAGGAAAGAGCACTGCGCTTGGAGTCAGAAATCTCTGCCATCCCCCCAGTCTCATCAGCAAAATGAGGATAAGGATAAAGATATTATAGTTGCCCAGCCTGCTTGACAGGGTTGGTGTAAGGCTCACATAAGATGATGATATGCAAATGCTTTGTAATCTAGGAGGTGCTATTTGTCTAAAGTCTAATGGAGAATTATAATACATTCAGGAGTCAAGGAGTTTTAATGCTTAACATGAAATCGTCTAAGACCTTTGGCAAGAAAGGATTAAGAAGGACTTTTCTCTCCACATTGATTTGTAATGGAGTTATAAATAATTGCTTCTAGAGACTGAGAAATGGATGGGTTTTCTTTAACTCCTGTTCTCCTTGCTTTTTTTTTCTTTAATTTTTAAGAAACTCTTTGAATAGTTACCTTTCTCTATTTTGGGCTGTTTTTGTCCCGAGAGTAGGATTTTCTCCCGATAGAGTGCAGGGGCCTCCAGAAGTCCAAGAATGGGTCACTGGTGATGAAACTGCATTCCCAATGAGTGACAGGACCATGAACCTCGAAGCTGTGAGGCTCAATGAGGGCTGGCCCTGCCACATAAACCCTCTAGGGAGATGATGACAATTCACTGCTGATTAATGCCATTCTGCCTTTATTGTAATTAGAAGGAAATAACCACAGAATACAAGGAGTTTAGCAAGATAAGGAACTCCTGCTGTTACCTAAACATCCATCTAAACAAAGATGTTTGGCTTTTGAGGCAGAGTTTGATTCCTAAGACTGTGTTCTTTGGCAGTTAATTTTCAAGAAGACTGAAGACTGAATTAACATTTTTGAGTATTCTCTAGCTCTCAGTAACCCTTTGAACCTACCAATTTGGGTAGTCAATCCCCAGCAAATAGGATTGGGCGGCCTTTACTCTGGTGTGTAAGAGTCATCTAATTTTTAGGAATTTTTGTACCATTTTCCCCCTCTAGAAACACATTTACTCCTCAATAACTACACGGGAGGTGACTGAGGAAGAAAAACCAAGTGAAAACTCAGAGTCCGCCTACATGACCATGGTGAGAATTATTCCAGCCCCAGCTGCGCCAGGTGTCAGAGGCTCGGGTGGCGCTGGTGGTAGACATGGCTAGGCTGTCCTGGGAGGCTGCTGAGGGCAGAGATTTTTCTAAGTAGCAGGAAAGTCTGAGAAACTGAAGTTCTACTGGATAGAAGAGTAATATCGAACTTTTTTACCCAGTCTCAAGTATTAAACGTCATCACCAGAGGTTATTTATGTTAGTGGTGAAAAGAAGTCAAGAGTGACCTTTACCGGGGGGCAGGGAGAATGCCTTTTGCCTCATCAGTTCGACCTAATAAAGAAAATATGGCCGGGTGTGGTGGCTCATGCCTGTAATCTCAGCACTTTGGGAGGGCCAGGTGGGTGGATTGCTTGAGACCAGTTCAAGACAGCCTGGCCAATGTGGCAAAACGCTCTCTCTACTAAAAATATAAAAATTAGCCAGGTGTGAGGACATGTGCCTGTAATCCCAGCTACTGGGGAGGCTTAGGCATGAGAATTGCTCGAACCTGGGAGGCAGAGGTTACTTGGGCCGAGATGGTACCACTACAGCCTAGGTGACGGAGGGAGACTGTGTCTCAAAAAAAAAAAAAAAAAAAAAAAAAAAAAAAAAAAGCCAGGTGCAGTGGCTCACGCCTGTAATCCTAGCACTTTGGGAGGCTGAGGCAGGCAGATCACTTGAGGTCAGGAGTTCGAGACCAGCCTGGTCAACATGGTGAAACCCCATCTCTACTAAAAATACAAAAAATTAGCCGGACATGGTGGCAGGCACCTGTAATCCCAGCTACTTGGGAGGCTGGGGCAGAAGAATTGCTTGAACTGGGAGGTGAAGGTGGCAGTGAGCTGAAATTGTGCCACTGCACTCCTAAGAAAATAGGATGAGATCCTTGGGCAAGTATTGTGTTGCAATGAATTGCTTTCTTCCCATGAAAAGGTCAAAGTAGGCTTTTTTTTTTTTTTTTTAACTTTGTGACTTATTATAGTTTGTCATAAGCTAACTGCCAGGCGGGCTACATGCTGGATCTCCTACAATATTTTGGAGTCTGATTTCTACTTTCCCTTTGCTTAGACTTCTGTAGCCCCCTAGGGAACTCTACACCTAGAAAAGGCGCCTCGGGGCGTGCGGTGAGTAGGGGTAGGGACTAACGGAGTGAGCTGGCAATGAGCACTGTGCTATTTGTAGACTGATTATAGGCACCCAGCCCATTAAGGAGCAGTGTTCTGCTAGGTTCGGGAAGGCTGGCCTCCTCTGCTTGTGGAATGATGGGCTTTGTTTGTTCGTGCGGCACCAGCCCTGAGGACACATGACTCCCAGCTGATTGCTGCAGAGAACCGTCTGCCAGGGAAGTGTGAGATCAGAGGCCTGGCTTGGATCCACTGAGTGAAACATTAACTCCACTCTGAAGTTGCAGCTGAATGGAGTCATTTTCCGCCTGTGTCTTCCTCCCATTATTGTTACATGATGCTGCAGTCACTTGCCAGGCCTTATCCTGGCTCCTGGAATCCTGCTGATGCAGCTGCCTTGTGGCTACTGCTGAGTGGGTCACCAGCCAGGGTGGCCCTGCTTGCAGAAAGTCTCCGAGGTGGAGATGATGCAGGAAGAACAATTGTCTTCACAGCTACCTCCCCTGGGTTTAAAGCTAGGCACTGATGGTTTGGATTTTGTGGAAAACGCCATTCCTGTCCTCTTGAACTAGATCCAACAGAGTAAGAGGAGAGGCCTGGGCCGCAAACTCAAAGGCCGGCAGGGGCTGGTCAGGTTATTTTAATATATGATGTGCCAAGTTAAATAAACCTGTTGGTGAATTTAGGACTGCAGGCCACTTGTTTGAGACCTCATTTGCAAAGGTGTTCTCCGATAGGGAGCAGGAGTAACAAAGAGCCTTTGTTTTCTGTTGTTGAGTTGATGGAATTCATGTACCTGTAGTGGTACCTTACTGGTTTCCCTTTCTGAGGCTGTACGCAGTGGTTCAAATAACAAGCTGTGGAGTTGGACAGACCTGGGTCCAAATTCTGACTCTGATGCAGCCAGATGGTCTTGGGCAGGTAACTTGGCCCGTCTGAGCCTCAGTTTCCTTATCCTTAGAATGGGAATAATGAAACCTACCTCCTCCTGGCAAGGATCAAGTGAGATAATGCATATGAGATTCAGAATTGGGCCGGGTTCATGAAGAGAGCTCAATGAACAGCAGCTGCTATGATTGCGGAACTACTTCTTACAAGTGTGCTTTGCTTCTTTCTTCCCTTCCCCCACAGCACCCAGTTTGGCCTTCTCTGAGGTCAGATCAGAACTCACTTGAAAAAATGTCAGATGGGGGAATGCCAAAAACACAGCAAGCCTATTGAGAAGAATGGAGAGTCCCTTCATCTCAGCAGTGGCAGAGACTCTCTCCTCTGTGTGTCCTGGGCCACTCTACCAGTGAATTTAGACCCCCACCCTCCCAGCTGTCCTCCTGTCTTGTTTGGTCAAAGCGCTGAAGATGGAGAGTTTGGGGCCTGGCAGAGAGACTGGACAGCTCTAGAGGAACAGGCTTTGATGATGGGTGGGGGGCATGGACTTGGCCTCTGGAATGGGACACTGGCCCTGGGAACTGGGCTGAGCTGAATGGCCTCAAGCCCCCCATTGGATCAGACCCTCCTGTGAGCTGTGTTTTTAGTGGATGAGTTACTGAGAAGAAGCAGAGATAAAAACCAACCCAAATCACTCCTCTGGAACATTATTTCTAAATAAATGTGGTTTGTGAAAATCGTCCCATCTTTATGCCCTGATTATAGGAGGAAGTGAAATCTTGATGAGGAATTTACAGTTAGAAACTTCTGGAAAAACTGAAGTTCCTGGAGGAAAGCCATACCGTGCCAACACACTAGGGCTGGTTTTGGTCCTGGGAAAGGTTAGGGGTGAATGGGTTGGAAGTGGGGTGTGAATACAGCTTTGGAATTTAACCCAGCGGTTCTTCAATCCTGCTGGGCATTGCTGGTGGCTCCTTGCAGGGCTTCATCACAGGCCTCCTAATTTGAAATTTTTGGGTGCAGCTTAGGCATTTAACTTTCTCGATACTCATGGGTTGCCTCAGTGGATAGCCACTGATTTAATTATTGGTCTGAAATGTGCAGTTCCTATACTTTTGGTTGTGATTTTAAGATTTGATAAGTTAGTCTTAAAAATTCTTGGTGGGGGGGCATCCAAATTGGTAATGAGGAAGTCAAACTGTCTCTGTTTGCTGATGACCTGATCATAAACCTTGAAAACACTAAAGACTCATCCAAAAAGCTCCTAGAATTGGTAAATGAATTCAGCAAAGTTTCAAGATACAAAATACAAACCAGTAGCTTTGTTATACACCAGCAGCAACCAAGCTGAGAATCAAATCAAGAACCCAACCTCTTTTGTAATAGCTGCATAAAAAAATAAAATACTTAGGAATATACTTAATTAGGGAGGTGACAGAGCTCTGCAAGGAAAGTTACAAAACATTGCTGAAAGAAATGATAGATGACACAAACAAATGGAAACACATCCCATGCTCATGCATAGGTAGAATCAATATTGTAAAAATGGCCATACTGCCTGTATTTAGTTCGTTCTCACACTCCTGATTAAGACATACCAGCGACTGGTAAGAACAAGAGGTTTAATTGGACTTACAGTTCCACATGGCTGGGGAGGCCTCAGAATCATGGCAGAAGGTGAAAGGCACTTCTTACATGGCAGTGGCAAAAATGAGGAAGATGCAAAAGCAGAAACTCCTGATAAAACCTCAGACCTCATGAGACTTATTCACTACCATGAGAACAATATGGTGGAAACCACCTTAGTGATTCAACCTATCTCCCACCGGATCCCTCCCACAATATGTGGGAATTATGGGAGTACAATTCAAGATGAGATTTGGGTGGGGACACAGAACCAAACCATATCATTCTGACTGTGGCCCCTCCAAATCTCATGACCTCACATTTCAAAACCAATCATGCCTTCCCAACAGCCCCTCAAAGTCTTAACTCATTTCAGCATTAACCCAAAAGTCCACAGTCCAAGGTCTCATCTGAGACAAGACAAGTACCTTCCACCTATGAGCCTGTAAAATCAAAAGCTAGCTGGTTACTTGTAGATACAGTGGGGCTACAGTAAATGGTGCTGAGATAAATGGCAAGCCACATGTAGAAGAATGAAGCTAGATCCTCATCTCTCACCTTATACAAAAATCAACTCAAGATGAATCAAAGACTTAAATATAAGATCTGAAACCATAAAAATTGTAGAAGATAACACTGGAAAAACCTTTCTAGACATTGGCTTAGGCAAAGACTTCATGACCGAGAACCCACAAGCAAATGCAACAAAAACAAAGATAAATATATTGGACTTAATTAAACTAAAAAGCTTTTGCACAGCAAAAGAAATAATCAGCAGAGTTAATAGACAACTCACAGAGTCAGAGAAAATCTTCGCAATCTATATATCCAGCAAAGGACTATTATAATATCCAGAATCTACAAGGAACTCAAATAAATCAGCAAGAACAAAACAATGCCATAAATAAGTGGCTAAGGACATGAATAGACAATTCTCAAAAAAAGATATACAAATGGCCAAGAAACATATGAAAAAAAATGCTCAACATCACTAATTATCAGGAAATGCAAATCAAAACCACAATGCGATACCACCTCACTTCAGCAAGAATGGCCATAATAAAAAAATTTTTTTAAAATATAGTTGTTGGCATGGATGTGGTGAAAAGGGAACATTTTTACACTGTTGGTGAGAATGTAAACTAGTACAACCAAGACGGAAAACAGTGTGGAGATTCCTTAAAGAACTAAAAATAGATCTACCATTTGATCCAGCAATCCCACTACTGGATATCTACCCAGAGAAAAAGAAGTCATTATACAAAAAAGATAGGCTGGGCACAGTGGCTCATGCTTATAATCCCAGCACTTTGGGATGCGAGGTGGGCGGATCACGAGTTCAGGAGTTTGAGACCAGCCTGGCCAACATGGTGAAACTCTGTCTCTACTAAAACTGCAAAAATTTGCTGGGCGTGTTGATGCATGCCTATAACCCCAGCTACTCGGGAGGCTGAGGCAGGAGAATTGCTTGAAGCTGGGAGATGGAGGTTGTGATCCAAGATTGCACCACCGCACTCCAGCCTAGGTGACACCGCAAGACTCTGTCTTGAAAAAAGACAAAAAAGATACCTGCACACACATGTTTATTGCAGCACAATTCACAATTGCAAAAATATGGAATCAGCCCAAATGCCCATCAATCAATGAATGGATGAAGAAAATAAATACCATGGAATACTACTCAGTCATAAAAAGGAATGAAATAATGGCATACGCAGCAACCTGGTTGGAACTGGAGAGCATTACTCTAAGTAACTCAGGAATGGAAAACCAAACATCATATGTTCTCACTCGTAAGTAGGAACTAAGCTATGAGGATGCAAAGGCATAAGAATGATATAATGGACTTTGGGGACTCAGGTGAAGGGTGGGGGAGGTGAGGGATAAAAGACCACACATTAGGTACAGTGTACACTGCTCAGGTGATGGGTGCACCTAAATCTCAGAAGTCACCACTGAAGAACTCATTCATGTAATCAAACACCACCTGTTCCCCAAAAACTTAAAAAAATCCTATAGGGTTGGGTACAGTGTCTTATGCTTGTAATCCCAGTGCTTTGGGAGGCCAAGGGGGAGGATCACTTGAGACCAGGAGTTCAGGACCAGTCTGGGCAACGTAGTGAGACCCATCTCAAAATGAAATGAAATGAAATGAAATAAAATAGATTAGCTGGGTGTGGAGGTGCATGCCTTTGGTCCCAGCAACTCAGGAGGCTGAGGTAGGAAGATTGCTCAAGCCCAGGAGTTAGAACCTGCAGTGAGATGTGATTGCGACATTGCACTCCACTCCAGCCTGGGGAACAGGTTGAGATCCTGTCTCAAAATAAGAAAGAGGAAAGGAAGGGAAAAGAAAGAGGAAGGAAAGGAAGAAACAAAAGAAAATCCTTTGGTTCTGAACAACTTCCAGCCTTCCAGGATCCTCCTGGGTTCCGCCCTGGCCTCCTTTCCTGACTGCCACAGAACCTTTCTCATTCTCTGCAATGTTTCTTCCCATTTAGCCATGCAGGGCCAGATAAAGAGGAGGTCTTTTCTGGTTTTCTGATTTCTGATCCAGTCTTAAATGGGCCTGCATTTTTGAATGATTCGCCAACTCTCCAAACATCAGAGTCCTCTCATAACACCCATTATGAACTCCCTCTTTTACCAGCTGTTCTCATTGAGCCATGGATAAGCATCATTAAATGCTTCCTTCTTATCTGCTAGCTCTCGGTGAGGAGTATGTCAGTGATTTTCCATATGGGTATTGAAGGCAGTGTCCTGTCCCACACATACCAGGGATATATATTGGTGAGACAAGTAAAGGGGGAAGTGGACTGTCTGGTATCTCGAGTGTTCACGAAGAGGAAGTGGTTTCATTTCTGGGCTATTAAGTAATATTCCCTCCTGGAATGAGGGGCCCCGTTCCGCTTCCTCAAATATTGCGTGCATTTGAAGATGGCTTTCAGGATACAGAGTTAGGTGGGTGGATGGTGATTTTAAATCTGTTGCTCTGGGTCTAAGAAAATAATTAGGATAAGAGCAGGAGGGTGGGCTGGGCAGCTTATCCACATGATCCACAGTGGGAATTTGGATCGTGAAAGTGTAGGTGTGCCCAAATTCCAATTTGATTCATTCAGAGTTTCGTTTCCATTCTGGGTTCGGCAGTTGGACTGAGGGGAAGGAAGAGGAAGCCCACATCTCTGCTCCAAGCCTTCTTCCCCACAAACCTTCCCCTTATCCACAGGCATGGAGCCAAGTCCACAGCTGTCAAACACTAATTTCTCCTAAAGCCGAAGCAGCCCTAAGGGGCCTGGGAAAGAGACTCACTTCCCATTCAGCCCTTCTACTAGAGGAGGTTTGTCCATTACATCCAGGAACACAAAGGGAAATCAGGAAATGGGCTTCAAGATCAAATAGTCCTGCTTCAAATCCTGGCCGTCTCTTACTCTTCAACATTGCCAAGTTTATTTGAATCCTTTGAGGCTCTTTTCCCTATCGGTAGAATGGGGACTCAGAGTGTTTTTGGAAGGACTGGGTGAGGCAGCATAGGGGATAGGGCCTGGCCTGAGCCTTCCATCTTCAAACGTGTTTTTCCAGGTAGACGTATTGTCTTAACTACCGCCATTCAGAAATGAGTTCTTTTATCTTCTATTTAATGCTAATCAGTCTTTGATATTCAATCTTAATAACATAATTAACCAGTATGGATGACAATATCTTCCGGTGATTCAGTCCTCGTCCTTTGTTAGTTTTGATTTTTATGGGCAAAAAGCCCTTTACCAAAATCCCTAAATCCCTCTTCCCATCCAAAGAAAGACAGAGTTAGGAAGCTGAGCTTAGGCTAAGGCTTTGTATAGCTCTGAGGAGACAGATTTTGAAGGACCAGAAAGATACTGAAGGTCCTTGTAGTAGAGCCTTTAGCAAGCAGTTTGTTGTCTGAATTTGCAGTATTTTAGATCCCTGGAACATCAGATGCTCTCATATTTGAAGGTTTGCAGAGTACACAGGCCTTTGCCAACAGAAAGCAGCCCCAAGGGTGGCAGGAGTGGAGCCACTCATGAATAATGGAGAACCTAGCAGCTTCAGAATTTGGCGATTGCAACGGAAAACAGGTCCACTTGTCCACTGAGGATC